TTCCTAGACTTGGACAACTTGCATGCCTGTGTCTCCTAGTGTGTAAGTGGGAATCGTCATACCTCATGGGCGGTTGTGGTGGGTAGTGGGGCGGGGTCCCCTCCCCCTGGATCATACAAACCTAAAACTGCTTGCCTTGCCTGCAATGCCTTTCCTCCCTGCTACAGCTCATCCCAAAGGAATTCCCAAGTCAAACAGGACCCCTATCATAGGCAAACTGTCCAAGGACCACAAATCCTGCTTCCTGCCCCTCCCACTGCATCATTAGCACACACACACACACACACACACACACACACACACACCTCTATTAAAACCACAGCAGCCCAGCTACTGTCATTCATATTATTCATCCTCAAGGCTCACAGCCCAGGAATGGAATGGAAAATATTTTGTCCCCACCTTGCATCTGGAAAGCCAGAGCTCAGAAAAGCCCCAGGTCTCTGACATCACTGGAATCAGACCCAGGAACCTGGGTCTGATACTTCTTTGGGAGTTGTTGAATGAATGAATGAATGAATGAATGAATGAATGAATAAGGAACACTTCCCCCATCAACCCTTTTCCCTTGGGGGAGTGGTAGACCTCATTCCTTAGCTCTCTAGGTTGGAATGTTGCCTGGAGATTAATTTTAAAATTCCATAACATATTTATCAGGCAGAGTGGGGGCATATACAGTGATTAAGAGCAGGGACTGTGACCCAGATGGCCTAGGTTCAAACCCTGGCTCTATCTTCTCTTAGCTGTGTGACTTGACCTAGCTACTTAACCTCTCTGAGCCTCAGTATCTCCATCTGTATAATGGGGGGAAGGTGATAATAGAATAATAGAAAAAAACAGCGTCAACATTAGACGATAGATCGGTTGAAAAGCACTCTAGTTGTATGAGCACGGAAGAACTATTTATTAAATAAACAGACCCTCTTCACTTACAAATGCTTCCTAAATAAACTCATATGATGTGGGATACATACCCGGGATATATGGAGAAAGATACATCTACATTTAGTAAGGACTTAATTATTATCTCATTCAGTTTGTACTCTAGCCCTATGGGGCAGAGGCTCTCATCATCCCCTTTTCATAATTACAGAATGAGACTCAGAAAGGTTGCTAATTGCCCAAAGCCGTACAGCTATGCTTGAACTCAGTCGATCTCGAGATACAAACTCTTAACCCCAACGCTGGTGCACCTCTCTTAGTCCCTACCCTCAAGGGGCTTCCACTCTGATGGGAAAACAGACATTGGACAGAGTACACAAAAGAATGAACAGCAGGTCAGATGACTGCTGTGACGGATTTGATGAAGGGCGGACACAGGACATGGAGAACATAAGCACCAACTGGCTGGGCTGCAAGAAAGCTAAAAAGCAGGCACTATGTTTGAAGTGGGAACAGAGAGTACTTTTCCAAGGGGAGACTTTCTGGGTGGTTCAGAGGGACTAGGGACAAAGGATTGGGCGCTTAGAGCCATGCCTGTGTGCTAACTCTAGGGGGCGCTGTTTGATGCAGAGCAACGCACCCAGAAGAGGCAGAGACTGGTTGGGAGGTGGGGCCACCTCCTGGGTGGGGCATTTGTGTGCACAGGCACGCAGACCACACAGGGATTGCCATGTTCCTTTTTAAAAATCCTTTTGCCAGCAACTCAGGACCCAGAACTTTTGACCACCAATGTGGGGGGTGGGGGGAGCAGGGGACGCCTGAGCCCTGGATAGGGCAGGATTCCACCCACCTAGGTACCCTGCCCGAGGTCCCACACAACCTAGTGTGAGGGAGGGAGAGAGAGATAGAGCCTCTTACCTTGTAGGCACTCGATAATATTTTGTTGAATGAATGAATGAATGAATAAGGAACACTTCTTCCAGCCCCTCTTTCTTTGAGGGAGGGGTGGACCTCATTCTCCAATTCTCTAGGTTGGAATGTTGCCTGGGGATAGAAAACAAAACAGAACAAAACATTTTGGTCAGAGGAGGACACTGAATTGTTATTTTTCAGCAATTTTTACAGATAAAAAGTTGCTGCCTTGGTTTAGGGAACCCAAGGGGTATTATTAGGATTGGGTTAGGCCATGGCCTAGAAAATGACAGAGTATTTGGGGTGGGGGTGGGGGGAATCAATTAAAAAAAATCTCACCCAAAAATTGCCCCTGAAATTATCTGTATGTGGGGAAGTTTCGGGGCCAGTTATGTCTGTACCTCCCAGGACTGGGCTTTGGTGGGGACCCTGAGGGTGGCAGATACGACCACCCCAATGGGGGCTCATGAGGATTAAACCCTGGAATAAAATTCAGCTGCGTAGAATTTCTTTCAGTCCTCACTACGACACTGAATGGGAGGGAGCACTTGTCCCTATTTTACGAAGGAGGAAAGGGGGTTTAGGAAGGTAAAGTACCTACAGTGCCCTGGGCAGGGCCTGAGACCCTTCTGAGAGTAGGACCAGAAGTTTCTCAAGGCCTCTCTGGGCCTGAGGATGGACTATTCAGACCCCGTGCTGTGCTGGCTGAGGGGGCACAGGGAGAGTGAGGTGGGGGCTGTGACTGGCCAGGCTCCATCGTCCCCAAGCCCAGCTCTTTTCCTTAGAGGGAGAGCCAAGGAAAACCAGGAACAGGCCCAACACCATCTGGATGGGGACAGAGTACAGAGACGCTGAGACGGGTGGAAGCAGTAGCCAAGAGAGCTGGGGAGAGGCAGCCTCAGGGGGGAAGGGGAAGGATACAGACAGCTTTGGAGGTGGAGGCTGAGTGGTAGGGAACTGGGTTCTGGGATTGGAGTCCCACTCCCCTTACCAGCTCCTCATGGTGTCCTGGAAAGGGGCCTACATCAGCCTCTACCTTCTCTGCCTCCGCCCCGATAACAAGCCTCCACCCACCTGCTCATGTCCTCTGCCCTCCCCTCACCATCACTCCTGCGCCCTGATCTGCTCAGGCCAAGGCCAAGCCCTGCTGGGTCCCCTCCCATCCCCCTTCCCCTGGCCTTCCTGGAAACCTGCTCTGTCCAGCCTTGGAGGGTTTCCTGGGGGCCTTCTGGCCTTGAACTCGACTTTGGGCAATGGGTGGGTTCTCAAAGTTTTGGCGATCTTGTCATGGGGATCTTGGGGACTCAGCCTTCTTTGGTCTCTACTGGCAGGAATGTCCCCCCCCCCCCTCCTTTTCCTCTCCACTTCCATTTTTGTCTGGCTTCATGGGAGGAGAAAGCATATATGGAGGTGCCCTGCCTGGTGTTGGAGGGGGTACTCTTTGGTTTTCTCTCTCTCTCAGGTAGGCCCCCCAGAATCACAAAACCTGGATAGCTAGGGTCACATGAGGTCAGACCACATCTTTAGAGGGTTGTCTCTGCTCTTTGCAAAGCCCTCATCTGTTTATACCAAACACAGTAGTGGGGGGTGGGCCCACGGACCTGTGTACAGTGACAACAGGGAATGAGTGTGGGGAAGGAAACTGTCCCCCAGGCAGACCTTATTTGTCTATAAACACAGTCCACCCCATGCCCCGGGCACCAAGCCACCAGCCTGACTGGGACTCCTCTCCTTCTACTGCCCTGGGAGGGGGCCCAGACACACACCCCTGCCTCCCCACATACGGGCTCTCCCTTCTAGCACCACTGAGTTGTTTCCACAGCAAGCTGGACTATGTTCTGTAAACTGCAGTCCCCTAGTCAGGCAGCCCCCAGCGAAAGGACAGGTGTCCTGCCATCACTGCACCTGTGTGTGTGTGTGTGTGTGTGTGTGTGTGTGTGTGTGTGTGTTAGGGGGCAAGTGGGGGAGAAGGGGGAGGCCGATGGGGATAAAGGCCTTTTGTAGGTCCATGAGATGCTCTGTATCTGCTTCTCCTGTCCCCTCCAGTGGTCAGGCTCCTCTCACAGGGTCATGTGAGGGGTCCAGGCCCACGAGTCTCCAGGATTCTACATGTTTTACGAATCTAGGACCAATCTTGAAGCCCAAGGGTGCCCCTCGTTGCCCCCGAGACTCTTGGGGAACAGTGGGGAGTGGATGTCCATCCCTGAGACTTTGTTTTGCTGCAACACCATATCCCCTTTGAGTTAGTGATTGGTGGGGAGCCCTGGGCACACCGTTTCTTGATTCCCCCCAGCTTGGGCTGCCTGAAAGGTCCCATGTTTCCTAGAGCCCTGGGTGCTCAGCCAATAAGAGGCTCCCAGCCTTGCCCCACCCTTTCGTGGGTTTGCTTGTGTGTATAAAGGTGGATAGTCCAGTGGGTCCCGCCCAGCCTAGTGCCGAAGTCTCTGTCACGCAGCTGGCTCTGCTCCCTTTCCAAGATGCTATTTTGGCACAACCAGCCAGAGCACCTGTGGCCCAGTCCTGGGGAACTGTACCCCGGGCCTCCAAGTGGCTTACTCAGGTAAGGGCCTGAACCCCTCCCCGCAGATTCCAAGGAAGGGCCTGGTCTGAGTTGCAATGGACAGGTAGGGCCATCTGTTTGAAGACAAGGGGGGTGGGCTTCCTGTTCTTGGGCTCCTTTGGGGGTGGAGGAGTGGTCCTGGGACACCTGGTGTTTAGTGGATCCTAGGACATCTCAAAACACCCTGACCACCCACCCTCTCGGGGCACTTTTGTTGGGCATTTACTTGGTATCAGACAAGCCCTGAGACTGCAAACAAATAAGTGATGGCAGATTTTTTTTTTTTTTTTTTTTTTTTAACATCAGAGTGCGAGCAGGGCAAGAGCAGAGAGAGAGAAAGAGAGAGAGGGAATCCCAAGCAGGTCCTGCCAGCACAAAGCCTGACTTGGGGCTTAATCCCATGAGCCTCGAGATCATGACCTGAGCTGAAATCAAGAGCCTGATGCTTAGCCGACTGAGCCACGCAGGCGCCCTGAGGGCAGATTTTTGTAGATGTTTGGTAGTATCTGAAATGTGCACCTTAGGGGCGCCTGGGTGGCTCAGTCCGTTAAGCGTCCAACTTCGGCTCAAGTCATGATCTCGCGGTCCGTGAGTTTGAGCCCCGCGTTGGGCTCTGTGCTGACAGCTCAGAGCCTGGAGCCTGTTTCAGATTCTGTGTCTCCCTCTCTCTCTGACCTCCCCCATTCATGCTGTCTCTCCCTGTCTCAAAAATAAATAAACGTTAAAAAAAAATTTGAAATGTGCACCTTAAAGGAGATTTCCCAGGAGCCAGAGGAGTTGAATGGGGGACTCTCAGGCCCTGGCTGCTGCTGGGGTGCCTTGGCTCTCTGGAGGATATGGCAGGCAGAGTCAAAGCCCCATAGGGGAAGGGATGGACAGGGTGGAAAGCCGGAGGTGGTCTCCTCTCCCTGGCAGGGAGTCCCTGCCCTTGCCCTACCTGAAGCAGGAAGAGCTGCACAACATCCCCAGCTCGGAGCCTCCCTGCCCCACCTTCCAGTATGTGCTCTGTGCAGCCACCTCGCCGGCAGTGAAGCAGCAGGAGGAGACCCTCACCTACCTGAACCAGGGTATGCTGGGCCTGGGGAAGGAAAGGGCTTAGTGGGGCAGCAAGCTCTGGAAGCCGAGTCCAGTGCGGGATGGGAATGGCAGGCACCATCTCTGCCCGCAGAGTGGGGCTCGCACATCCCCTTGATCTCTCCCAGGCCAGTCCTATGAGGTGCAGATGCTCTGCAACCCCAAGCTGGGTGATACTACCCAGTGGGCCCGGCTGTTGAAGGTAGGTGCATTCCCCTCCAGAACTGGCAAGGGTTGGGTGTGACTGTCCATCTGGGCAGGAAGCCAATGTCATCACGGTGATGTCACTGTCAAGCAGAACCCTCTCAAGTCCACCTTTTAATTTTACCTTCACAGCAGCACATTGGTGGGCAGGAGTTGTTGAGGAAGGAGGCACAGAGAGGTTAACTATTTTCTCAAGGACACAAAGTAGCAGATCCGGGATTTAGAAATACATTTACATAGCATTATTCACATGCATGAGTCCTTCTGTCCAAAAAAAAAAAAAAAAAAAAAAGTATATATTTAGCCCCAATTCATTGCCAGAAACTGTTCTATGAGCTAGAGATTCAACAGTAAAGAGGCAGATGTAGTTCCCTTCCTCAGGGGGCTTGCATTCTACTGAGACAGGCATGTTAATTACACAAATTATATGCAATTACACATTCATTTCCCAGTTGCAAATTGAAAAGTACTGCAAGAAAAGAAACAGAGTGACTAAGAGTGGGAAGGGAGTAACTCACCCATTTCACAGATAAGGAAACGGAGGCTCAGGGTCTCTAGGTTACTCCCCCAGTTTCACAGCTTGAGAGTGACAGGTGGGCATCTGGACACAGACCTGGTGATCTCAGTGCTTGTGGGCCCTGAGGCTGGGAAGCAAGGTGGGGGCGAGGGTGGGATGGTTGGCCTACGCCCGCTGTGGGAACTGGTTCCCGAATGCCCAAGCACCCTCTGACTCGTGAGCCCTGCCTTCCTGTGCTCACAGAGTGTGG